TTCTGTTGCTCAATTTAGGAAGCATTTCCATCTTAACGATGTTGAGTCGATCCATTTATTAAGATCTTTAATTTCTCTCAGAAACATTTTGTAATTTTCAGTTTATAAATATTATACCTCTTTGTTAAATTCCTGAGTATTTTTTGATACTATTATAAATGGAATTATTTTCTTAATTTCATTTTTTATGAATATGACTCTTCATTGCTAATATATAAAACTACAATTGATTTTTGTATATTGATCTTGCATCCTGAGAACCTGATAAACAGTTTATTAAGTCAATTAGTGTTTTTATAGATTCCTTAGGATTTTCTACATATAGGATGTCATCCGTGAATACAATTTTTTTTCTTTATCACTGTCCAAAACTTCCGGTATAATGTTGAATAAAGTGGTAAGAGTGAATATACTTGTGTTGCTCCAATCTTAAGCAGAAAGTATTCAGTGTCACCATTAAGTATAGAACAAACTACAGGTTTTTCACTGATGCCTTTTACGAGGCTGAGAACATTCTCTTCTATTATTAGTTTGTCGGGAGTTTTTACCATGAATATTCAGCTGTTGGATTTTGTCAAATGGTTTTTGGTACATTTTGACACAATCATGTATTCGTGTCCCTTACTTTATTAATATAATGGATTGCATTAATTTACCTATGTTAAACCAACTTTGTATTCATGGAATAAATTCACTTGATCATGGTGTAGAATCCTTCTTATACATTGCCAAATTCAGTTTGCTAATATTTTGTTAAAGATCTATATTCATGAGAGATATTAGCCTGTACACTTCTTATAATTTTTTTTGTCTGGTGTTAGTATCAGAGTAACTCACCTTATAGAATTAGGAGTTATTCTCTCTTCCTCTACTTTCTAAAAGAATTTATAAAGAAAAATATATATTCTTTAAATATGTGATAGGATTCACCAATAAAATAAATTGAGCCTAAGCTTCTCTTTGTGGAAAGATTTTTAATTACTACTTATATTTATTTACTTGTTATGAGTGTGTCAGATTTTCCATTTATTCTAGAGTCAATGTTCCTAATTTGTGCCTTTCTGAAAATTTGTCCATTTCATCTAAACCATCTGATTTTCTGGCATAAAATTATTAATATGAATGGACTGATTCATAATGTACAATGCTTTTAGTTCATATAGAATCAGTAATTTAAACCAATATCCCTTCTTTTGTTTCTAATTTTGATAATTTGTATCTCCTTTCTTATTTTCTTAGTCTAGCTAGAGGTTTCTCAATTTTGTTGATGTTTTCAGAGAACCAATATTGATTTTCTCTATTGCTTTTGTTTTCTATTTCATTAATTTCCACACTAAACTTTATCATATCCTTTCTTCTGCTCTCCTTGAGTTTAGTTTGCTCTTTTTTTTTTCTAGTTTCTTAATGTGGAATCTTAGGTTATTGATTTGAGACCTTTCTTTTCTGATACAGGTGTTTACCCCTATAAATTTCCCTCTAAGCAATACTTTAGTTGCATCCCATAAGTTTTGACGTTCTGTTTTTGTCTTCATTTGATTCAAAATATTTTTAATTTCTCTTGTGATTTCTTTTTTTCCCTAATAGGTTATTTAGAATATGTTATTTAATTTCTAAATAAATTGGTATTTTTTAGATTTTTTTTCTGTTGTAAATTTCTAATTTACTTCTGCTTGTGGTCAGAGAATATACCACATATGATTTCAATCTTTTTAAATTTATTGAGACTCGTTTTGTGACCCAGAATAACATCTATTCTGGAGAACATTCCAAATGTGCTTGAGAAGAATATGTATTCTGCAGTCAGTGCAGAGTGTCATATAAATGGCAGTTGTCAAGTTGGTTGATAGTGTTGTTCAAGTCATCTCTATCCTTCTATAACCCTGCTTTTCTATGAGTTGTGAGTTATTCTATTAACTTTTGAGAGAGCAGTACTAGAATCTCTAACTATTATTGTTAAATAGTCTATTTTTCCTTTCTATTCTGTCACTTTTTGCTTCATATATTTTGGACCTCTGTTGCTAGGTGTGTATACATTTATAACTGTTATAGCTTCCTAATGTATTAACCCTGTTATCATTATTAAATGTCCCTGTTTTTCTCTAGTAATATTTCCTGTCGTAAAGTCTATTTTGTCCGATTTAATATAGTCACTCCAGCTTGTTCTCTTATGTTTACCATTTGCATGGTTATGTTTTTCCATCCTTTTACTTTCAGCCTATTTGTGTCTTTGAATCTAAGGTGTTATCTCTTATAGACAGCATATAGTTGGGTCTTGCCTTTTTATATAGTGTAACAATCTCTGACTTTTGAGTGGGGTATTTAGTCTATTTACATTTAATATAATTATTGATATGACTGCTAGCAACAAATCCCTCAGTCTTTAATTGAGAATGTATTTATTTTTAGTTCATATTTGAAGGATATTTTTGCTGTATCTAGAATTCCTGATTGAAGATTTTTCTTCCAGCATGTTGAATATGTTTTCCTACTGCTTTCTGGCTTCCACTGTTTTTGATAAGAAGTCATCCATTAATCCTATTTTTTCTACTTCTCTTTCCTCTTCTTCTGGAATATATATATACAGGTCTCTAAGCCTCTGTTCACAGTTCTTTAATTTTAAAAAAAGTCTTTCTTCTTTAGATTGAATAATTTCTTTTGCTCTACATTCTAGTTCACTTATTCTTTCTTCTGCCATCTCAAATCTGCTATTGAGTACCTCCAGAGAATTTTTTCATTTCATTTCAGTTATTGTACTTTTCAACTCCAGAATTTCCATTTGGTTCTCTTTTTTAAAATAATTTCTATCTCTTTACTGATAAATTTCTCTATTTACTAATAGATTCTCTATTTACTGAGTCTTTCCTTGAATTCTTTAAAAATGGTTTCCTTTAGATCTCTGAATATATTTAAGTAGCTGCTTTGCAGTCTTTTTCTGTTAAGTCCTACATCTGAGGAACAGACAAGCAAACACAATTTTTACTGACTGCTCTTTTCCTTTCCACGAATCATGCTTTCTTGCTTCTCTGAAGGCCTCTACTTTTTGCTGAGTAGTGGGCACTTCACATAATATATGATAGCACCTCTGGATTATGACTTCCCCTCCCCTCAAGCATTGTTAGTACTGCGGTATTTCTATTTAGTAATTTGTCTGCACTAAGTCTGTAAAATCTGTCTTCTATATGTGGTACAGTTGCTGAGGTCTTCACCCAATTTTTTTGTTGTTGTTTTTATTTCAAGCTTGCTTTCCTAGGAGTCGTCCCCACATCTGTCTAGCTAAGTGTTCTGGCAAAGACTAGTCAGAAGTTTTGCTCAAATACCTTGAGCCAGAAGTCTTCTTCCCTCTGCTTCTGACTGTGTATAGGTTGAGAAGCAAAATCAAATTTCGGGCTGCTTTCATGTCTGCCCCAGCTTTTACTTTCTGTAGGCTTTCTCACATTTCTTCTATGTGTGCACACAAGTTCTGTTGGCCAGAGATGTGTGGATGTCTTGGGCAGCCTCCATCTCTGCTGCTCATGCACACAGACTAAGATCAATCTGGGATATATGGAGAGCTATCAATCCCCTGATGGTTCTCTCATCTCTCAGAATTACCTATTAAGTCCCCAGCTAGACCATTGGTCCATTGCTTGTTCCTAAGAGGACTATAAACTGAAGACAGTAGAGCTACTGGCTCTTCTTGTTCACTTACCACTGACTGACTCAGCTATTTAACTGAAAATACTCCAAATGAACTGAAAATACTCCAATGGGGTATTCTAGAAGTGGCAGCAAGGCTGATGATTTTCATAGCCTGCCCTGGTCTGGTTAAAATATCACACTGACAGAGCAGGGGAGGAGAGAATGGAAGCAACACTAGGCAAGAATGCCACAAGTTCATGCTGTTCTTACCCAAAGTTTAGTAGTTTTCACGAACAATTGTTTCTTGGTTTGTTGTATATCTTTGATCAATTTTTAGAGAACTGAAATGGATATTTTTGACAGCCTTTTCCAAACTTTCTTGTTGCTTTTTTGGGAGAGGATTTGTCAACCTCATTCTGTCATGCTGGAAGTCAGTATCTCAACCATTCTTTACATTCTGCTGGAATTAGAATTATTAATACTATTAAAAAGTAGACCATGCAGGTGAAAATATCACTGTGAAACTTGAATTTCAAAGAAAAATGTTTGCCTTTGTTTTCTGGCGAGGGGAGAATCAACCAACAAACATAAAGATGACTAAAGGCACAAATTTAAATGATTATTTCATTAGATTAAATTAATTAAGAAATCTCACTCCTTGGAATTAGTACCTAGGGCCCTGCAACTCGACTCCTTCACAGACACTAGAGAAATGAAATTCTCTACTAGAAGAAAGCTAATCTCAAAGCATTTTAGTTAAGATCATCCGTCCCACTGCTGCTTTTTTGCTCCTTTTGTTTCTTATTTTCCTACCTCTCTATCTTATGTTTCAACCACGGTCAATCAGATACACACAGGCATTCTTATAATACTCTCTTGCTTCATCGAAGTCCCCCAGTCTGGCCATTGCCTATTTTCCATTCCCTATCATCTCTAATAAGCTGAGACCTCTTGGGCAAGTCACTTGAGTTCTAGACATCCTCACAGTTCCCAGGAAGGATGATAAGAACTGTCCCATGCCTCCAGAAGTCCAGTCTATTAGAATTAGAGAAGTTTTAGAGGTGTTTTGGGGTTTTTGTTTATTTGTTTGTTTGTTTGTTTTTTTGGTGAAACCCCACATGTTCAGATGGAGAAATTAAGGCTCAGGGGAATTAAATGGCTTACCCAGGTCACCTTCCAGGAGCATGATAAAGATTATGTCGTGCTAATAAAATAGGTGGAAGACTTCAGAAGTTGTTACCAGAATGAGCAAAAACTCAGTCTCAGGGCTAGTAAATAGAAATGATTCCATGAAGAGCAACCCTGACATCACACAGGCTCTGACAATACTGGACACGAAGGCTCCTGAGATCAATTTTCCCCACTCCACCACTCTCTCTTACCTTAGCAAAGAAAATCCAGGCTGCACACTGACCGGGGGCCATTAGGCTTTTTAGCTTCACTGTGCTGAACATGAGAAAGAATCCTAAAAATCCACTGGAAGGAGAAAATATATTGTTAGTGAGGCCTGTCTTCCTTTAGTCAATAGGTAACTATTTTCTGTTACATTTTACCAGTCAATTTCTAATTATTACTCATCTATCTTATCTGTGTTTTCTAGTAATCTCTGGATAAAAATACCAAAAATTAAAAAAAAACATTAAGCTCTACTTTTCTAAGGAGCTATGATGAGAGCATTTTATTGGAGGTTTAGAAATTTGAGAAGTCTCTGGCTAAATCATGGAAGAAAAAAGAGCATAGAGGACAATACCTCCTGCTCTTTCCATATTACTTCTGGAGCTTGGTGCTTGCCAAGGTAGAGCTTCAATTTTTTTCAAGTAGAACAAAGTGCCAGGAAAATTCCAAAGGGAAACTCACTATATGAGGGTAGAGGGTCTGGACTGGCCCATGGGTTCAAGGTAAGACTCTAAAGGGGAGGCTGGCTCCATAACAGAAGTCGCTGAACCCCAGCCAACCTACATGGAAGCTACTTTGGTAATGATGTCTAATTCCATATGTATGACCTGAAAACCACCCCCCACCAAGGGAGCCTGAGGCTGGGGCGGCATCTTGGGGTTTATTCAGAGGTCTGCGTCAGCAAGCCAGATGGGGAAATAGTGGCCTACATTGGAACTGTTTTCAGAAATGTTACTGTGTAGCCAAGGCCAAAGCAAAGGGAACTCCAAAGAGAACAGTTACTCTTCCTGGCGGTTGGAGGCAGGATAGTTGGGGAAGAGAGTGTGGCAGAAAAACTCCATGACAGAAGCTGACTTCCCACAAATACATGCAAGACAGGGCCTGAATGTAACTATTATTTGGAATTGAAAATCAAACAAGAGACATGACTGCAGTTATACCCCAAACCAGAGAGGTGGGTCTTATGAGCTGTATCTATTTGTACCCTCAGGGCCTTAAATGCCACACTGCCATTTGACCTTTATTATAGGCACTGCTGTGTGACTCCAACTCAGATCGTGAGCTCTGAGAGGCGGAACCCATTCCTCGGCTTCTCTGTACTTTCTCAAATAGAGCCAAGCATGGAGCCTTGGTCATAGTAGGTATTAATTACATCAATGTTTGACAGGCTTACTTGGGAGCAGCTTGAATTGAATTAAACACACTTAAGGCCAAATTTCACAGAAATGTGTGCCTTCACTTCATTGGATTAGATGAGTTCACAGCCACATTCTTGGGGCAGGACCAGAGGCAAGCATTAGGCATCCTTGTGTGTATATCAACCTGTTTGGCCTGGATGACCTGCAAAGTTCATTGAGATTTGCATCTGCAGTCATGGGAGGCCGGGAAGCTATGGATTAGAGATTGAGTCATTTGCACCCACTCCGTGTCCTAGATGAGGATGCCCTTTTGGGTAAGCAGTAGGCTGGAAATCAAGTGACCTAAATTTCTGTTCTTGGCTGTGCTCATTGACCCTTATAACCTTGACCAAATCCCCTCTTTCTCCCTTTTTTTCTTGCTTTAGATTATGTGTTCTTAAAGTAGGAATAAGCACAGTGGTCTTCATCCTAACTTATGGAAATCAGAGATTTTCAGAATAGAAAGTCTCCCCAGCTCCAATTCTCACTTTATTAACATGCAAATTGAGGCACAATAATAATCCAGACTTCCTGGCTCTTTCAATAGTTCTCCACAGCTCTTCAAGTCTCATTACAAATGCTCTTAACCAAAGAGACAGAGTGAGATGCTCCAGGTGCTCATGGCTGTGAGGTTGAGAGTAGAAAGTGAGGCAGCCAGCACTCCAGGACTCTTGTTGGTGGCACCCACTCTGTGTCCAAGGAGATGACAACTTCACAGGTACCTGTCCAATCTCCCATACCTCCTTTTGCTCCTCTCCACTTCCAGACAGGGGAAGGGCATGATTCCATGATGATCTACCCTCTCAGCACCTACTCTCTGCTAGAACGGAGGCTCCAGGTTTGTGAACAGCTTGTTTATGAAAGCACCCAGGATTCATTCCCATCACTTGAAATGTCTGTGAATCATTTCTAAATTTCTCATGAATCCCTTATCTTCTTTTATTTTCAGCTCTCCTACCCCTCGCTATGGAGGTAGATCTTAAAAGCAATGGGAGGACCCCAGAAGTGAAAGAGACTGGGCTCCCTGTTAATGGGGTATCCTGGGCATGGTTACTACTGTATCCTTAGGTCTCCATAGCCCCTTCTGACCTCCTCCAGGGTCTCCTGAAGGGGACAACTCTTAGTCTAAGATATGGTCATGGAGGAGCCACAAGATGAGATGGTGAAAACCAACACATTCTTAAAAGAGGTGAAGCCAGGGGGTAAAATGTAACAGAGAGTTAAATCAATTCGAATAAAGATTTCCAAATCTTTCAAATAAAATAAACCCGAATTTTTCATGTTGGGTTATGAGAAAGTTACAGATGAAAAGGGGTAGAAATGAAGCCAGAATGTCACCCCACGAAGCCAACACCAACAGGCTGTGGACAGTGTTGCTCTGTTCCAAACAAGCAAACAGTGGCTGCCCTCCCCTCCATATCCTGTGCTGCCAAATAACCAGACCTGAAGGAAACAAGTCCACAGGCGCCGGAGCAGCACTAACAGTCATGCCACACAATCCTAGCTAATGGTCAAATGACAAGACCTGACCAAATTCAGAGGAACTGGGAAGAAGACTTCTGTCAGTGTTCTCCCGAAACTTTTCTGAGGATGATAAATAAATCATTCTAAGGCTCAAATACAAAAGCAAACTCTATAATATTGATTTTTTTTGTCATAAAAGACCAAAAATTTTACCTAACTACATATTAGATTTTTGACACTCTTTAAAGAAACATTGCTTCATAAAGTAGCATCTTATAAATGTGGGACTCGGTGGTCTCGTTTTTATGCTCATGGTGTGCTGACATTTTACTTATGGTTGACCTGAGCAGGTAATAATAATGACCATCATTTATTGGGCGAAGCATAATGCTTAGTGCTTTACATGTCTTATTTAATATAGGCAGCAACCTTGCATATTATTTTTCCATTTTATAGAACTAAACTAAGTTTTGAGAAAGCTAGGATAACCTGCCCAAAGACCACACAATTAGGAAGCAGCAAGGCTGGAATTCACCCCAAGTTTGGTCTTTCCACCATATCGTAATATATACTTTGAGACTGTCCACAGAAGCCTTTCTACTTCTGAGCATAATAGAGTCAAACAAAGTGGGGATCATGGCAGGAAAAGGAAAATAGGATGGGTATGAACTTCTATGTTATCTAATTCTATCCATTTAATTGGTCTACCTCCCTTAGCATTTCCCAAGGTGATTAATGATTACCTTGTGTCTAGACATCCCCTAGTCAATGGTTTCCAAAATCTTTTTTTCATAGTCATGGGTTTCAGTTGAATTTTTTTGGAGGTTGCCCATTAGGAGCAAGAGGAAAGCTTAGGTCGAAGTCGAGACGGTAGGACTATAGACCCAAATCTTCTCTTGAACAGAATCAATTCCACCACTTTTACATAGTGAAGTTCTGTTTAACATTTGCTTGTAGAGAAAAAAAGAGTGGGAGAACCCTAGCTCTCTACAAATTTGAAAACCATGACCCTGGATAAGAAAGAAACTTCTATAGGGTAGGCTCCTCACAGGCCCCAGGCCATCCCTGAGCATCTGAGGGTGTTCATAACAACCCACTGATGGCCTAGGGAGCTGTTTCCACGCCTGCACCTGCCACTGCTCTGCCAGTCATTTGGATAACTAGCAGTGATCCAGGACTTCGCTGAAACAAAGACACAGCTGGTAGTACAGAAACATACAAATTAATAGTGCAAGTGTTTTACAAGTTAAAGTTACCTGGCACAGCAGCTGCCATGGAATCTGTAGAAATACAGGAACGGAAAGTCCAGGACGCTGAAGAGATCACCTGAGGGGCACAGCAAGAATGAAACAATGACCTGCACAGTCCATATGCCCCCAGCTGCTCTGGAAATGCAAAGTGAGGGTCTTTAGCACAACAGCCCTCTGAGAGTCGAACTGCCCATCACTGAATTCACACCAGTGTTCCTAGGGTGTCTATGTTATTAGCATTTTCTGATAATAATAATAAGAGGAAGAGGAAGAAGAAGAAGGAGGAGGAGGTGGAGGATGGGGAGAAAGGGGGGGAGGAGGAGGAAGAGGAGGAGAAGAAAAAAAGAGAAGAAGAAAAGAAGAAGAAGAAAATGCGCATTTAGTGAGAGTCCGTCCTGTGTAGGGCCCCATGCTAAAAGCTTTATGGACATCATCTCTTTCAATCCTTGTAACAGCTCTATGAATTTTTATTATCCTCATTTTAACTGGAGCTCAGAGAAGTTAAGAGATTTGCCTGAGATTATATAACTCTGGAACTGTGCAGTCACAATGTGAACCTCTGTCACTCTGAACCCTAGGATCTTTCCTCTTCACCGGGCAGCCAATCCTGCCCAAGGCAGAGTGTGGGACAAAAAGAATCTTTTTTTAAAGATTCTTCTATTCTTCTCTGCCTTACATCCAAAAAAAGAATGTGAATGCATGCCTCTGACATCTTTTTTCATTTTTGTGTTTAATTACTGCACAAATGGCAGAGGGGCCAACCGACTGTGCATATTCACTTTAGTTTAAGGTCCAAAGGGTACATTTATTTCTAGTGAAGTAAGTTCATTCTTTTAGTTCCACTTGGTGCAAGAGGAAATAATCACACATATTGGCTGCTTCCCTCTTTGGAATTTGAACTTGGTCACAAACAAGAAGTCAGGAGATTAAAAAAGCAGAAAGCCTTCCAAAAATGTCCAGAGACAAGGAATTAAGCATTTCCACAGCAGATAGCTTAATCCTTCCAAATCTGGAATTTTTGAGACTGGAGGAGCCAGGCCTTCCAGGACCCCAGCCTTGGTCTGTCTCTCAATGCCGGATGGACTGGGGCGAGAAGGGCTGATTTTTACGAGTATTCACAGCATGTTAGGTGTGCAATGGAACATAAGGGCAGTATTTGCTTCATCACCACATTTATTAATCAAGAGTTTCAGAACAAGAGACACAATGGCATGCCACACTTCCTCGGAGACCTAAATGATTTCAAATGATTCAACCACCTAGTATTGGAAAGAAAAGTTCTGAATTCCAATTCTTTGGAGGGTTGTTTTTTATCATGACTATTACTGTTTTGTTTCGTTTGTACATATGTGCGTGTGTTTAATTAAAAGGAGAGGGACTCGAGGGATCTGGTTTTTGTGTAACATAGCAAGAGGTTATGAGTTCTTGTATTCTCTGCCACAATTCCACTGAATACCTTTAACATCTCCTTGGGATCTATATTGGTGGAGGGACTTTGTAAATGATATCATCAGGCTCAGCCATTCAGTGCATGAGGAGCAACACCATTGGCAGTCCCTTTCCCCACAGGAGTGACAGCCAAGGTGACCCTGGGCACCGTGGTCCTAGAGGGCGGCCAGAGCACCCCCGCTCAGTCAGTGAAAAGGATGTCATGGAGGATTTGCATTCTATCTCTTTGGCAGCTGTTGGTTCTTGGCCCTTTCCCAATTTCCTTCTCAGAGAAACTGCAGTGCAGTCAGTGTGATAATAAGGAACGGGCAAAGGGGGAGATAAATTAAATGCAGGACCTCGAGATTTTGCTTGGGTGCTGCCTCCTCTCAGCACCCAGTCTTTCATCAGAAATACTCCTGGGAGGTAAACTGGACTCACGGTGCGTTGGCAATCTTTACAGCCCAGCCCAGGCTGTGGAGGGGTCAGAGGTAGACAGGGAGGAGGTGGATAAAGAAATTATCCTAGAACTTACCGGTTAGATGATAACCCTCACCCAAATTCTGAAAATTGATCCTATAGATTATTGAGAGAGAGGGTGAGAGAGAATAGCTCCCTCTTATCTTTGAGCCATTTCTAAAACCTCTACATATTTTTCACGTAGCACTTAGCTGACTCCATGCCTGTCTCTCCTGCTAGAACTAAGAAGTCCCTGAGAATAGGGACTCTATCTTATGTATCACTTGTATCTACTGTGTTAGGACCAACTCTGACATATAATAAGCACTACTGAACTGAGAGACCTAAACCCCTCTTGCTTCCCCTGGAGAGAATGTTCCAAACACTTTCTAGTTGAATATGCTGGTCCTCAATTTCAAATTGACCCCAAATGTTTGCCTTCTGATGCCTTCACCCTACCTCCACTTTTACGAAAGTAGAGCTCTTAAACAGACGGGATGCATACCAACCCCTAAACAGCAAAGGTTAATGACTGTGTTACAAACAGCCCTGAAGCTGTTGTAGTGTGTAGCTGGCTGACCCCAACCACATGAGGACTAGATCCAGGAGCCTAAAAAATTTGTAAAAATGTTCAAAACACAACACTCCTACACCATCTAGTGCAGAACACACCAACTTAAGCACAAATTAAGTAGTTCAAGATTTGTAAACATGTTTTGTGGCATCAACATGCAGCTGATACAATAAAGTCTGGATTGAGCCTTCATTCCTGTGCTCCACAGTTAAATTTCTGCTGGCTCTCTGAGAGAGGGAGTGAATTCCATTTCTCTGAAGATCGTGGAACCACGGTAAAAAGTGTGGCACAATCTTACTGCATTCAAGATTAATTGATATTTGAAAATGAAAAAAAATTTCCTCTCATCACATTTTAGCCCTCAGAACTGGCAGGAAAAAGGAAGGTCAGTTCCAAGAAGTGATTAGTCTGCTTGCGTTATCTCACCATGAGCAACAGACATACCAGGTAACAAGGTCATTTCTGGGTCAGATTCCTGTGGCTCTCCCTACCCTTCTAGTGCCTTGGGATCCTCTCTTTTGAACACCACAGCATAGGGGCCCCATACAAATATGAAATGCAAACTCTCAAACATGGGAAGAATTTCTCTTCTTTATTATTGCTTAAAACAGTCCAAGGGGAAGCAGGGTTCCCAGATTCTTGAAGCCTCTGCCTGAACCATGAAATTGGAAGATTAAAGAGGGAGGTAGATTCTACCACCAAGAAGGCAACTCAGTGCTAGAAGGAGAAAAAGTGGCAGGGCCTGTGCCTAGGACATGGAGAACTATCTACCTGATCCCTGCCATTAGGTCCCAATGTACCCCAAAGGTTGTGACCCACAGCCATATCATCTGCATCTACAAGAAAGCTTATTTTTTTAGCTACTCATCAGTGAATGAGAAGGGCAGTTTAGTCAAAAGCACTACTGAGGGACAAGGATCCACCCACTAGAATAGCTAAAGTAAGACTGACAACACCAAATGCTAGTGAAGATGTGGAGCAACTGGAACTCTCATACATTTCTGGGTGGGAGTGTAAAATAGTATGACACTTTAGAAAACTGGCACTTTCTTTAGAAGTTAAATATATATCTACTCTAAAACCCAGAAATTCTACTCCTAGGTATTTATCCACGAGACAGAAAAACGTAAGTTCACAAAAAGTCCTGTAAATAAATGTTCATAGCAGCTTTATTCAGAACAGCCAAAAACATGAAAACAGCCCAGGTGAGCATCAATAGATGACTTGATAAAGAAAAGGTGGTATGTTCACATAATGGCACATTATCCAGCAATAAAAGGGAGTAAATTAGTGGTATGCACAACAGGCTGGATGAATCTCTGAACACTATGCTGAATGAAAGAGCCAGTCACAAAGGAATACTTCCTATGTGTTTCTATTTATATGAGACTTTAGAATAGACAGAACTTATCTATATGAGATTCTAGAATAGACAGAACTTATCTGTTATCTATGGTAACAGAAATCAGATCAGTGGTGGCTTTTGGTGGTGGATGAGGAGGGAGAGACTAACAGGGGTGTGAGGAAACTTTCTGTAGTGACAAAAGTGTTCTATACCTGATAGAAGGGTGAGTTACATGGGTGTGTACATTTGTCATAAATGGCCAAGCTTTGCATTTAAGATAGGTCTTACGTATTTTATATATGTAAACTATCTCAATTTTAAAACATTTTATATGTACTACCAAATAAAGATACAAGTAAAAAAAGAAGAGGTGAGAATAAATGAAACGGAATCAAGCCCTGTTTTAAAATGTCAGAAATTAACAGATCCTTCAAAATAAGACAGCACTTATGTCCCTGACTCACATTGTGTCTTAAAGGGTACACATGTGGGCTATCAAGACACTCTCCTGGACCAACACTCAGGCCCAGCAGTGGACAGTGTTGATGGAAAGTGTAATAAGTAAGTGGGAAAGAATAAAGTGCTGTTCTGTCTTAAAAACAGTCTAGACTACTCATAAGAAAGCTAAAATATTGGCAAGAATTGGAGCCACCCAATCACAGTAGTCCTTGGATACTTCTGGAGAAGAAAAATCTTCCTCAGCTGTTTTATTTGCTTAAACATTGTAATTAACTCTATACTATAAAAAAACAACACCAGGACTCGTCAAAAAAGTTTAGAACAATTGACATGAGTTTAAAAAGCTGGAAAAACTGATTTCCCAGGGGTGTTCTAGATTGTGAACTTCCATCATCATGCATAGCAAATTCCTACCTTAAAATCTATCTACCTTAGTTATCTACTCTAACAAACAAATATAAATGTTTTACTACGCCTGAGTTCTAGGAAAGCAACAAACGTGATCATGAACATCTTACAGCGCCTTTATTTTACTTAATACACATAGAAGTAGGTGTGGGATGTTCATGGGTTGGATACTGAACTTGGTGCTGGTATAGATGGCAATCACTGGCTTCTTCTGGAAGGCTGCCACCAGGATGTACATAACCCTACACCCACCTTCCCCAGGGCCTTTACCAGAGCCCTGCTATGATGGCTACAAAGGTCTGCGGGGCTTCACTGGGGTGCCTCAACTACTTACAGCAAGGGAGGCTAAGGTCGTCTCTGCTATTAACACCAGTCACACAGTGTCATCAGCCCAGCAAAATCGTTCTCAGAAGTCAACTTTCTATACCTGGCTTCTTCAAAGATTCCACCTCAGCTATCTGAAAACTGCAACAAATCAAAGATGCATCCAGAAGCCCTTCCAGGTAAGTGCACCAAGCCCCTCTCTGATAAATCCCATAGGCTTTACAACTCCCTGAGCCATCTGCCACAGACACAGCCTCAGTCGTTCACCACGTGATATGGTCAAAGAGGAGGAATGGAAGGTGGACATCTGACGTCCAATGTCAATTCTTTCTTTTCTGAACTTAAAATATAATGTGTGAGAAAATTAATTCTTCTTTCAAACAAACCAAAATCTATTTTAAATGACTCTTCTGTCCAGGCCAGAAAGTTGCCGACCATTTTGAGTTCCAGAGAGTAATTAAGTGCCCCAGGTCTTCTGCGCTGACTTAAAAGTTTGGCAGTAACTCAAGGTAAAATGTGGGAATGCAACCCCAAATAAATGATTATCGGCAGTTACCAGGCTTGGAAACTGATAGACAAAACACCCTCCGAACCAAAAGAAGCTCCAGAAAGAAATTTAGGAGCATCACACGAAAGTATGGGAGACTTTATAATAAAGTGTAAAACCGCTGAAAAAGAAGCATTTTAGGAAGAAAAGCCTGGAAAGAGGGTCAGGAGACCTAAACTTGTCTCCCTCTGCTACTCACCTCCTGTGCATCATCCAGGTCATATCACTTAACTGCTCTGGGCTTCAATTGCCTCATCTGTAAAATGTGGCGGCACCTTGGATATTCACTAGATTATTCCCAGCCCCCATAATCCTGAGTGTAACCAATGAACAAGCATAATCTTTGAGTTGAAAGGCAGAGAGATTTCTTTGTGTGAAAATTATTCATCAAATCCACGAGAAATCACTCAGGAAGTAGATGAACATGCCGACAAAGGAGAACCAGCAGACAAAGCTTTCCAGAGGCCTTTGACCAAAAGGCATTTCAAAGGGGGTGGATGCTTAGTAAGTAGGCTCTTAAGTACCTGTTGGGTGGCAACCCCCTCGCTGCATGAAGGAATGACGGGAGGCAGAAGACTAGCATATGGGCAAGCGGAAACTGTTTAGGGTTAACACCATGGTTGTATATGATTTATTATTTTATAAATGATAGGCTTTCAACAAATGATTGTAGAGAGGGCACTCCAGAGAATACCTCATAGTTGTAAGATACACCAGACTATAGGAGTGAAAGAAAATAGCAGATATGCTACAGTGTAAGCAAGTGTAGAATGATGCATTGAGAGAAAAGTAATCCAAATTATCCTTATGAGACACGGGTTCACATATGTCATATACAATCTAGAAACATGATTCCAGTTACTGACAACAGTTCCCTAGGGATATTAGTTCAAATAATCTGAAGCAGCTAAAAACACAAACAGAAAGCTGTCATTGTTTTAGGCACACTATGAGGGCTTGCAGGGGCTTTAGAAATAATTCAGCTCACCTTTTCCATTTTACAAATAAGAGAACTGAGACCCTGAAGGCTTGGTAAATGCCTTATGCATAGCAAATGGTCAATAAACATTAGTTTAAGGAACATGACCAATAAAACATGTATTTTCAGCCATACCCCACACAAATATTATTGTTTTATCTTTGGCATCAACTTCAAAACCTTTCAAAGTAAAAATCCACAATGAAATAGAGTATTGAGGGCAATTCCTGAATCTGTAAAACAACTACAGAGTAATTAAGGTAGCAACAGGATAAAGGTAAGTTTTAAAACTTGATTTCTTTCATCTGGAATTATGAAGATTAGATGATAACATATGATAAAAATTTATAAAAGGATATCAGTCAGAAATAGGGTGAATTTGAACTTTTTCAACAAATCCTTTAGCACTAGAATTGAAGGGCAATTCTGGATGCTTTAAGAAAGAATTAGAAGAGGATAATGCCCGCAACAGTCTACTCTGCAGATGAAACCTGTCTGTCCATCTGAGATTGCACCAGATAAAAACATACACAACAAAGAAGGGAGAAGAATAAATCCACAGGCAATAACTCTATAATGGATTATTAAGAATAGTTTCAAGTACATGGGCCACTTCTAACCCCTGAGTTTGACATCCTGGAAGGGAATTACATTCTTTCACAAAATGTTCCTCAGAGTTATAACCAGGGTCATAGCACACTGCATTGAATGGGCAATGTAAAACAAACAAACAAAATGATGTTTACCTGTGGGATGAGATGCAAATGCCAGGAGCACCACACTGAAAAAGAAACAGCAGAGTAGTGAAGAAAGCTTCCCCACACTGAGGAGGAACAACATACATGCCTAACCATTCTACTTAGAAACAGTGAAACTGGTCTAAAAGTAAATTATCTGCACTGAATGGTCTCGTTCTGCCTAAATCCACAACCTCAGTGAGAAAGTGAGAATCTCTTGAATTGCCTCAGGTTTTGGCAAGAGGTTTGAATCTACCCTATGACGAACTGACGATCCATGCCCCACTCTGAGGGTCAGCCATGCTACTAATGAGTATCACACTCACCTAATCTACCAAGAGTATTTGTAAATTAAACAAAGCAAACTCTAAACTACGAATAGGTTGCATTCTAAAAGCTTGCTGTTGAATGACAGCTATGTCTATTTTTACCACAAAATTAACTGCATAGAAGGTAAGTCAAGCATCCAAGACGCTAGCCCACAGTGATCCACCGCATACATACATCATGTGACTGAAAACTACCTAGGCTGATTTGCAATTGATGCCAAAACGGATGAAAAGGACAAGGAGGCATGTCCCTCTTAGGCAAGCCATACTCGTCCTTGGCACCCTTCCGTCTTCCTCTCTGGAAGCTTCTCCCATCTCCCAGTGCCTGTCTATAGCATCTTCATGCTTCCCTAAGCCCACCTTCTATACTCTCTTTCATCGCAACCCCATGCCATCCAGGCAGCTGATTTAGTTAGAGGTTAGAAATAAAACTTTTTATCCAAGTATAGGAGGGAATTTTTTTTTAAGTGCTGGATGGCCTACTCTGATTCTTAACCCTGACTGCACATTAGGATAGCCCAACATCCGGGCCTAAGTTAGAATCTCTGAGGGTATGGTCCAGGCATCAGTTGTTTTACTCTGCTATGGTCCTGGTGGCTTTAAAGTGCACCAGGATTCAGAACCATGGCAACAAATCTCTAGTCAGTGACATTATAGGCAGCTTGAAGGAAGACAGTTTTGAACAGGGAAAACACTATTAGCTCATTGACCCTCCCCTGCCCAGCTCCTGGGTCATTTCCTGGCACCATTTCTGTTTTTCTCAGGCTCTTCCTTTGCTTTACTGCTAAAGCACGGGTTCTCTGATGGCTCCAAAGAACAATGTCATGGAAAGAGGCAGAAGAGAGGAGGGGTCAGAAAAAGAATGGAGAATAGCCACAAGTCTGAGCATTCAGAAATTGTAAGTTTATATGACAGCCTTTACATGTACCTGTAAAAAAAAACACGCACTACTAATGAAACTGGAAAATTTCTGTCCTTTGCTTGCTATCTCTTTTTTCTTTGGAAAATGCACACCCTATACAGACTCCATTATTTTATCTCACTGGATCTCCTTTTGGTTATAACTTCAGCAATAGAAGTTATTGCTCCTATGGCAGAATATGAGAGGCCTATTTACATCCCAAAATATCTCCCAGGACTTGCCATGATACCCCAAATCTCATAATTGGAATCACCCCAAAGAGTGACCCTGGAATAAAATGTTAGGGAGCAAAGATAAGAAGAAATAATTAAATAACAGAGTTGGGCTCTAATCCCTATTTGAATTTTGCAAATATAGTGTTGCATCACTCCTAATTTGTGCACTGTGACCTCTTGCGGGGCGAGAACCACATTTTATTCATCTTTGCCTAGCAGGGCAGACATATAGCAGGTGCTCCATAAGCTTTCCAAATTACAATTAATCGAGGTATATTTGTGGGAATATGTTTGAAGAGAAATATAACTTGAAGCTCCCAATAGTTCTAAGATTATATATTACATATAAACCCTAATGAAGAAATTATACTAATATAAAAAGGCAGATCAACAGCAGACTTTTTAAATTCATTCATTCAACAAATATTTATCAAGTGCCTAATAAGTGCCAGGTACTGTTCTAATTTGGGAATATAGCAGTGAACAAAATAGAAAACATTCCAACGCTCATGGGAAATAAAACGGGGAAATATGAGAAAAATATAATCTCTACAGGCTAAACACCAATACATTTTTTGTTTCATAAGTCATATCCCAGAGAGAACACCTATCTATTTCCCTTTGACACACACACACAAAATTTCATGTGCAAAACAAGGAGGAGGGGTATGAACAAGGGACATTATGGTAATTTTCTATTTACTAGATGAGGAGAGACTAGTGTCTGCTTATATTAAAAAGAAATGGTGTTAGGTGTACATCTCATAATATTCATTCCTTATAAATTTCCTAAATTTCTCAAAATTCTGATCAAAGCCATACGGCTTTTAAATCTTGCATTTATGTTCAGTCCCATATTCAATTTCCACCTTTATTCCTTCCTTCATCCTTCCCCTCTACCTTAGGCCTTAGACCTCTACCTATATGAGAAATACCAAAGAGTCAGTGTTAGGGAGTAAACACCTCCTCAATAAAATAGGAGTATGTGCCAAAGTTGAGAACCATCCAACTACATGGCTCTCTCAAAAAATGGAGAGCTCAAACGAGTTCTTGATCCTGGCCAGCACAGTTGCAGGCCGGCACCTATAAGCACAGCCGCCCCATAGATTTGAGCGATCAAATCTCTGCATGTTGATGCCCTCAGTATCCAGCTCCTGCGTGAAAATGAATAGCGGCCCTCTTTCTGATTCACACAGCTTCATCGCTTGTACTGAAAGAAGGCTTGGAAATAGAATTGTGGCTTTAGCCACAGGCTCAGCAGTGGGCTCTACCAGGAAGCCTCAGCACCAGGCTCACTACTGGCAGTGAACATCCTTACACCAGGTGAAGGAACTGAGAGGGAAGGAGGGAGGACAGGAGAACTAGCTGAGGTCACAGAGGCTCATTTTTCCACCCCCTTATTCTTCTGCTGCTCCAGTTGGCTATAAGTTCTCTGGAGAAAAAGAACTGCTTAGAGGGGCCTGATGTCATAAGAGTCTTGAAAAGGCAGCTGGTGAGTCTGGGCAGAGTAGAACTAATGATCGTTTTCAGTTGAGCACAAAAGAGGCCCCCGGCCATGCTTGTAATGAATCTCACTTTCAAAAAGGTGTTTTAATAAATACTAAGATATTTATGCACTTCATCTGCAAATGGAGAACACAGTTCATGTTGAACCTTTTCAGCAGAGTAACCTCCTCCAGAAATCAGTGTGACCAAATGCTGAGAGGCATCTCTCTGACCTTGGTGCTCTCCACGGAAAGTTGCAGTTCTAGGCAAACCTGGGTTCCCAACATCAAATCTCACCCTGCTTCTCAATTAGATACTGCAGTGCCCAGTCTGAGACTATGAAAATCCAAGAATGCTCCCCAGCTATTCCAGGTCGTGGGCAGACCCCTATTCTTTGCTTGGCTCGGGACAAGGGACAAATGGAAATCCATATACCATATTTAAACATTATAAATCAAGTTTCAAACTTCATCTTCCCTAAACAAATATACCTTCAAAACAACTTAGAAGTCCAGATTAAAGTTTAGAATTCTTGGAGTCCTTGAAACTTTGTGTCAGAATGTGGCACCATGGAGACATCCAGCTTCTGGCTGCTGGCTCCTGATGTGACCCCTTCTTTTTCCATCCCAGGCTCCATCCTGCACCCTGAGGGCCTCACACAATTGCATGTGGATACCTCAGCCTACATGGCCACCCTCCGTCCACATCCTTCTCACTGACAATCTTTATTTGGACATCCTTGAGTATAGGGATGAGCTGGGCAGACAGACCCAGGGAAGCCTTGGACTCAAGTTTCAGGCCACCTGCATAGGGAATTCCAGGGCCCAAGCTAGAAGAGAGGTTGTGGGCACTGGGAAAAATGTCCCCTTAGCCTTACAGACTCCATATCCCATGGGGAGAGGCACAGACTTCTGAAGCACAGGGCCAGACAGACTCTTGTCTGGTCTAAGGGCAGGACTACTATTTGGTTTCCTCAGCTTCTGGTCATCTCACAAATTATTTAGGTTGCCTTCTTGACAAGCACATCAACTCAGAACTCCCTAATCAAAATATTATTGGAAAATAAAAATCTATTAGCTCCAGGAGAATATGAGTTACTCTTTAAAAATGTAAATTATATTTTACCTGAATATATAATTTAAGTACTGCTGGTCAATGTCACTAAGGAATGAGAGGGGAAAAAAAAGGTAAAACGTGAAATAATAGAAGTGTTTTATAGACACAAAATAGTCATATTAATAAATTATAGCTATGTATAAGTTATTATATTTATAAATTATCAATAAATAGTATAAAGAGTCTACTTGAAACTAGTTCCTGGATTATTTTTTAAAAATACGTCCTATTTTAGTACTATCACACACATTTTCACTTGTGGCCAATTATTTCTTCTGTGTTCATTTGCCACTTTAAAGGGGTGTCAGCTCTCTCAGGCCACTGGACCATCTTCTAGGGCTACTATATTTGACAAATAAAAATACAGAACATCCAAATAAACCTGAATTTCAAATAAATAAACATATTTTAATATAAGTATGCTCCAAATATTGTATGGGATATGCTTACCTTTAAAAAAAGAATTAAGACAAACTTTTTAAACAAATGTTTAAAATTCCAGATAAACTACTTATCTGAAATTCAAATTTAACTGTGTATCCTGTATCTTATCTGGCAACTCCACTGGCTTTCTGCTGCAAATAAACGCTTTATTGAAAGAACAGAAGGTGCTGTAGGGACCCAAAGTCAAACATCCTCAGAGGGTATCACCTTCTCCCAGGAGTCATTCCCTTCAGACTTTTGCCCTTTGGGCTCCAGGCAGCCCAACACCCAGAAGCCAGCTGGCTCGTCTAGGGGCTCCGGCCTCACAGCTTCAGCCCAAGCAAGGCCTGAATTATCTTTTTCATTTATATTCACTAAGGCTGGTCCATTGACTGCCCACAACAAAGGCCTCATTTTACCCCAGAACAGGGCTGACTGGAGAGACCGCTGGGTCTTAACCAAGTCAAGTTAGGAAGGCGCTGGGGAAACAAGAAAAAAAGAGTTGTGCCCTGAGCTGGAGGAAGTAAACTGGGGCCCAAAGCAGCTGGTCACATAATTTTTGTAAAAACGTTATCTAAATGGTTGCCCCTGAAGGAAGAGGACCGAGACCTCCCTGCTCTTCCCACGTCGCTGCGGGCTGGCACAGTACAGGTCTTGGTGGACGCGGCCCAACTGTAAGAGAAAGGGCTCCCGGGCCGAGCCTGCTGCTCCCCACCCCCCCACCCCAGCCTGGCAAAGTCTCTGGCTGAACAGAAGCAGCTCACGACACTGTGGGTCTCACCGCTTTCCTTAACTAAACAACTCACAAAACTTTAAAAATTTACCTTAATGTATTGGGTTTCTGGGACTTCTGTAGTATTTTATAAGCCCCTGAAAATGAAGCAACAAGTGTTACTGGCACAGGGCATTCATTCTTTGTAAAGGGCTGCCTGCACTTCCAGGGAAGCACGAAACCCACTTGAAGAGCCCCTCTGCCCTGTGTGGGTCCCTTAAGGCCGACAGGGGACGACCAACAACACTGTGGAGGGTTTCAAGGATGTGAATTGGATAATCCCCGGTGATAATGCTGTTCAGTACAGAGAGTGTTGCACAAGAAGGTTCGTGATCAACAGAAGGGTACAATGAACGGGAAGCTGCTGGTTTCCTTCACAAGGTGATCAGGAGAAAGGGCAACGCCACTGGATTTCTGAATGGCGTGTAACAAAGCGAGCGCACTGTTTCTTCCCCTTAGAACTATAGACAAGAAGTACTGAACAGATGGTCCTTATATTTCACCTGCTTACATTTTTCTGGTAAACTGATGAGAGTGTCTTTGACACAAACTTTTAAATCTCTTCTGACCATTTTTAAAGAAAACCACCAGCATTCCGCAAGTGGACTTGAGCAAGCAGAGCCTGAACCATGGTAAGTTAATTAATGCTTGTCACAAAAAAGAGGAGACTATAGTGGAAATAGAAACATTTGAGGAAAACTCCAAACCAGAAAATGCCCATTTAATTTTAACCTCAACAGCTTGTATTTAATCTTCCTATTGTCCAGAGTCATTAAAAAGTAGATATAAGGTTGAAATAATAAGCCTCAATTATTTAAGTAAGCATTCTTTTAAAACTTACCTACACAGAATAAGTGAATTATGGCCCAGAAATATCCATCTGGATCAAACTGTAACATAAGATTTAAAAAAAAAAAATGGCTATAGGTACAAACAGAAACCGGCATGACAATCATAAAACCTAAATGCCGATGCACAATACCATGCAAGGGTATCAAAACAGGATTCTGGGGGCCTTGGGTCAGTTCCTCCTCCTCTGTCACCCAGTTGCCTACGACATCTTCCTAACATGCTATCTGCCTCCAGCACCCCTTTCCCCATTTCCCACACTGCTGCCACACTGGGTCCTTAAAAAGCTAATCCAATGGTGTCACCTATTGCTTAAAATCATTCGACAGTCCCCCAGTGATTTCTGAATAAAAATCTAAACTCGTGACACCCAATGATCTGTATGACGAGACCCTGTCAAGCCCTCCAGTCCCATCTACTGCCCCCTCTCCAGAGAAAGAGAACTTGCACTTCCTCAAGCATGAATGCTTCCCCCCACCAGCTCAGCCTTTCCTCTTTCCTTCCTTATTTGCCTCCATAGGACACACTCTGTTTTAATTATTACCTTTCTCTATCTCCACCTCTCCCTTGATTGTAAATTCCAGGAAGCCAGGAATTAGCAAAGGAGCACACACATAGTAGGTGCTCGATAAAGTTGAATCCTAGAATACTCGGGACACTTCCAGGACTTTGCCCACACCTGCTTTCTTCTGGCTAACTCTTCCTCACCCTTCAGGATTTAGACTGAGTAAGCAGAGAATGGCTCTAGCATCGGAAAGATCTGGATTAAATTCTAAAATCCCCACTCATTCGTTAGCTGGTGACCTTTTGGGCCTCATTATTCTTTAGCTATGAAATGGAGATAATAATAATCCCTACACTTGTGGAACCGTTGTGAGATTTTAAATAAAATAAGGCACATAAAGCATTGGCACAGAGCCTGGCACACAGCAGGCTCCCTCTAATTGTTAGCTAGTCCTACTTCCTGAGTCCCCAAGTCATCTTAGGTGCCCCACAGCGTACCATACCTCCCAGGACAGAGCCCTGGCCTCCCTGTGTTATAATTATCTGTTTATCATCTGTCCTCCTCCCCTTTGCTCTGACTAGACTCCGACATCTGTCTGGACAAAGACAATTCTTCTTTGTGCCCCTAGAGTCTGGCTCAGTGCCTGACACTTAATGGGGACTTAATAAATGCTGGGGAAGAAATGAAAGAAAAAGACCCAGCCATGAGATGACTACTGGGGGTGGATTCTCAGTGCCTAATAAAGAAAAATAGGATAAAAAGTAAAAATCACTCTGCAGATGAGGCCCTCGGCACGAGAGAAAAAAAAAATCAACTGTGCCTTAATGTGTGAGGCTCAGGCAACTTGGACACTGGCTTGCAGGTTTTCCAAGCACAGAGGACAGACTGTACCCACTACAGCACCCAGAGGCCAGAGCTCTGTGGGCCACACTGACACGGCCTTGCCGAGAAGGCAAAGGCCTAAGGAAAAGCACTGGCCTGGCCAAAAGGTGCCCAGCCTGAAAGTTTTAAATGCCTTTGCACAGGCCAGGGTTACTCTGATTCTAAAAGGAAGGACTAGGAAATTCTGCTCATATACACAAGCTTCAGAGTAAAAGATACTTGAAAGGCAAAATGCATTTACCTAAACTTACCTGGGAGTCATTGAAGGGAAGGCATCCTGCAGCGGCCAGGAGGAAGAGGACACTGTGGAGAGGGAAATAAAACACACAGCTTCACTTTTCAACATCAAAGAGTTTCCCAGAGAATGTGGAGGTTGAAATACATCAATTGCAGCTTGGATGAGGGAAAAATCCTGTGAGCCCCTGCCCAGTTCCCCTGTTCATTCTCTGAGAACCTCACTACCTGTGTAGTTTTTAATTATATGCTCCACTGATAACCAGACACTTCCTTTTCTGGTGCTCAGTAGTCATTTTCCCAGAGACAGGCATTTGCAGGACACGTGCAAAACCACAGTGGGCTTACTTGAGAAAAACAGTATGCCTATGAAACATATAATAAGAAATTTTTTTAAACTATAGATCCCAAAAAATATACTAGTGGAAAATTGGGCAGTCAGACTACAATTATGCCACTTAGGAAAAAGAAAACACCCTGGGAAGCACATGAAAATCTTTTATGCATCATCTTAACCAAATGGTCAAACTTAACGTCCCCGGTAATGGGACAGTTTTACATTTTGTGCCTCTTGATATGACCGTACTGAGAAGGGCACACCTCACTCAGGAGGCATTCTTTTTTTTATCTGAACGGAATCATGAGGAAACATGCAGCAAACTGAAATTAGGGACAGTCCACAAAACAGTGGACTTACGCTCATGTGAAGGCAATGAAGGACAATGAAAGGGAGAGAAACTGTTCCCGATAAAGGATACAAAAGAGACACAACATCATTTGGGGGAAAAGATTACTTTATAAGACAATATTAGGATAATTGGTTAAATTTGAACATAGACGCAACTTCAGATAACAATATTGTATAAGATATTAATTTTCTAATAATTGCACTGTTTATACAAGAGATTGTTATTTTTAGGAGATACACTTTAAAATATTTAGGGCTAGGTCATGATCTTCACAATTTATTCTCAAATGGTTCAGAAAAAATAAAAATTATATATTCTTATTTATTTTGTGATATATATGTATATGTGTGTGTATGTGTGTGTGTGTACATACATATGAAGAGTGAGAGAAACCAAATGCAAAAAATGTTACCAATGGGTGAATCTAGGTATAACTACATGGAAATCCCCTGTAATAATCTTGCAACTTTTCTGTAGATTTAAACTTTTTTCCCAAATAAAAAGTTTTATTAGAAAAATCTCTTATACATACTATTTACAGATGAAATGCTATGGTGCCTGGGATTTGCTGAAGCGAGGCACTGGGTGGAGGCATATGTTGAAAAAAATCGATGGATATACTGGGCATCTTCTGTCCATTTTTACATATGTTTAGAAATTTCCATAATAAAATGTTTTTGTAATTCTTGAACAAAAACGTAATATTGCCAATCACAGATATTTTGAGAACGCTACCTTCACTCATTAGAAAGTCAATTTAGAGTTATCTTTTGGTTCCGTAGTCATTGGTTTTTAGTACGTCTCTTCTGTATTTCACATACCAAAAGATCTTGCCCTCTAGTTTTCCCCATTCTCTCCTCCTAAAATAAAGTACCAGAAAGCACACAACCCAAATTATCACATACTTTCTTCTCCTTTTCATTTTGCAATGCAACCAAATATTAGTGTTGGGCTCCTTTACTGGTGACCATTCCATCAGCCAGCAAGCAGCAAAGAATCAAAGGCATGAACAGAAGCAGTGAATACAGCATTTTCACTTTTAGGAGACTTTGTCATATGACGTCTCATACCAATATAGATTTATATACATGTAGAATTCTATATTTTATATATATATGTATATAATACACAACAATCTGATATTTATAACCTAATTTATAACTGACGATAGTAATGCTAATTAATTCTGTCCACAACATTCCTCACTCTTGTCATCATGTGTAGTTGTGTCCCCAGCAGACAGCATGGCTGTCTTGGCCTAAGGCAGGAGAACTGGTACAGAGAAATCTTCAGAGCTGAGGCCTCACAGCCTCAGGAAGGGCAAGACCACACTGGACACCCTGAGGGCACAGGAAGATTCTCCTTTCCAGCCCACCAGCTTTTTTTTCTCCAGCTTTGCCAACTTTCAAGACACATACACACACACACAAATGGAAGACTCCAAGGTGCCAGATTGCCAAGGGACTCAGAGGCAAAGGCTGGGGTGAGTAGAGGAAGGTGTCAGGAGGTTTTCTGAAGCTGTACAGGAATAGGCAGGTTTTAAGTGAGAAGATATGAGAATCCTAATGAGTTTGGTGTCTACCTACAGTGTAAGGCTTTATAGAATATAGGACACTTCCCCAACCACAGCCAATGAGCGTTAGAGATTCCACTCAGACAGACAACCCCTTAGGGTTGAGGGAAGATGGGGGACAGCCAGGTGTGAGACAACCCCTCGTTTCCGGCCAAACTTGGCTTTGAGCAATACCCGATTGTATTTAATGCCTCTCTTTAACACCTGCTAATCTTTTAAACAAGAGGTTGAGTCCTGATAGTTCTTTTTTTTTCAAGTAGCAGCCTGTAATAAAGGCAAAAAAATGAGATTGGATGACAGCCCAGAAATATTTGAAACAAAAAGTCCTAAATCCATGTATCAAAGCATCTCTGTTGGTTTTCTATCTACGGGATTGAGTTTTGTAGCTCCTGCAGAGGAAGCAGGAAGCCGTCAGAGAACAAGGTGCCCAGGTTGGAATCAACACACCTGGGCACAAGGACCTGCCTGAGAGTCCAGCTGAGGAAACTGAGGCACAGAGGGTGATGACTCCTGTCCACAGTCACTTCGCTGTGGCCCAGGAACACACCTCAGATCCCTGGACTCACAGGCCAGTGCTTTTTTCACCATGGCAATTATTAAAAACCCCCATAAACTGCAAACATTATTTAAAAAATTTTAAGTCTTTCCATGTTTTCCATTTTCATTTTCTATCAGTATTGCACAACTCTTAGTAAAAAAGTTTTGGACATCAACTGAAATCTAGCATGAGTTGTTTTTGCCTTAGGAATAAAATATTCAGAAAAAGAGAGAGAGTAAATTTTAGAATAAGACATGAAATTGGGATATATGAGTGTTTATAATAAATTCCTCTGTCAACTCTCAAGTACAAATCTTCAACAAACAGTTTATCATCAATGTTAAAAATCAGGTTAAGTCTGGTATTTTAGAGCTTTGTGGGTTTTTTTTTTTAACTTACCTACAGATCTTTGCAGGAGAAGTTTTCTGTACAAAAATAAAGAGACTTATAATTAGTCTTTGAAACTTATTTTTTCTTAAAAGAAAATATTTAGATCAATAGGCAAAAAAAATGTGAGTAAGTTTATTCTTGGAAGCTTAACAGCCTGTTGCACATTAGTGTTTGTTGAGGCTTTTTCTGCTTGGACCAAAAGAAGAATGACTCAAAGGTTCAGAGTTGAGTCACCTCGGCAAAGCACTCAAGATGTGCAGTTTTACCACTTTCACCATTAGAACTGTTTACTCGTGAAATAAACAAACAAACAAATAAATTAAATGATGCCAGGATCAAGCCTTCCTGCAAGGGAGAGAGAGAGAAATCAATGTAACTTATGCAAGAAAAAAAATTAAGCTCATGTTCAACTTCTACTCCAATCTGTCTCTTTAAATTTTCTTTTCATTAATCCAGCTCTGACTCTCAGCGGTGCTATAAATTCTCTGGTATGTTGTGTAAATTAAGAAACAGAAAAAAGGAGAAGGGACACTCGACTCCACCCCTACAGAGAAGTTAAAAAGGAAGACTGGGGAAATATGAACTTGGCATTTAAAGCTCCCTAAAATGAAGAAATTTTAATGCAGACTCTACCTGGATCTCCTCCTTTTTATTAGTCAGTTTAAGGGAATTAGTCCTTTGTACTCAGAAAGACATTTCTAGCAAGAACAAGAATAAATTATTCTACATTTGATAGGAGAAACGCTCAGGTAAGATAACAGATTAACTCTGAACATTTCAGAAGAGTTATTTTGTTAGTTGAGGACAAACTATTATTTTTTTAGTCCAGTTCAGATAATATGAAGTATGATCATATTATTTAAAAGGGAAGCGGTGACAAGAGAAACATGCGGTTTGCTATGAAGGCTATCTTAAGTTTTCACATGTTACTAAGTAATCCAGTGTGCATTGTTTTAATAAACAGGTTGTCTGTGTACAAAGCAGTGGCCAGCATCTTCGGATCCTTCTATCGCTTATCTTTGTGGACCCTGCCTCAGTAGTCCAGAGGCAATGACTCCACTGCCCCCTGGTGGGGACACCTATCCCTTCAGGAAGGATGACATACTCAAAGGTGACCTGGCTCTAAACACCTGGATAATTGCCCCATTATGAGAAAAAAAAAAAAGATTCTGAGCTAAATATAACCAACATCTCAACAGTTTGGTGGAAGAGTGGGAACAGAGAGAATAGAGATGAAAGGGATGCCTCAACTCCCCATGAGCACCATGTCCACCCAGCAACTGGGGCTTCTGTTACGGGGCAGTAAACCAACCCAGTGTCTGGAAGAGTTCGCCTGTTCCACGGAGGAGAGAATCCTTTTTTTATTGTAAACTCCTCTGACTAAAGCAGCCCAGAATTTAAGGTATGCAGAGTAAAAACGAGCAATAAATTCATTAACGAGCTCCATTCCCGCAGGGCTCCAAAAATACCTGAGGAATTAATGTCAGGGCATTCACCTTTTCAGGCCCCTCAGTCCCAAACCACCCAGTAATAAGTCCTGATGATGTCTCAGGGTTCTGAATGGGTCCATATATTCCTCAAAAGTCACATTGCCAATAACAATAAGTATTTACCACTACTCTGGGTTAGCTAACTTACTCTCTGAGGGCTACTTTGTGCCAGTGCTGTTCTAAGCACTCTACATGTACTGACTTGCTCACTGCATTATGAGTTAATTAACAGTCTTAGGTTATATGCTACAGATAAGGACACTAAGGCCCTGAGAAATTAGGTCAGCTGCCTAAGGTCACAGGGCTTGGGACAAGGTGACCTAGCTCCAGAGCTTGACCCTTTACGACACTATTCTGCCAAAGCCCACCTGTCAGTGCTGCAGTGACACCGCACTGGTCTTTTCAGGCCATCAGGCTTCATTTGCTGTTTCTGACTTGGGAGATGATGATCAGGATTGGGAATACCATATGAGAAGCAGGTTTGGAGAAACACATCAGTTTGATTTTGATCCCTTTGCATTTCAGGTGCCCAGGAAATAGCCAGGCAAATAACCAAGACCAGCTGACAATGGAGATCTGAGTTCAAGAGAGAAGTCTGGGCTGGAGATGGGAACACAAGAGTCCAGTGAACAAAAGGTGGCTGGTGCCATGGGTTTGGATGAGGTTGTCCAGAAAATGTGTGGTATGGGAACAACAGGCTCCTAAGACAGAGCCCTAGGAGTCCCTGAAGGGCAGACAAAGGAAAAAGAAGAGAAAGACAGGTTGCTGAAGGAAGAGCCAGAGACTCGGGGAGAGACCAGCAGGGAGGGGGAAATGAAGGTCGAGGGGGCTGAGAGAATCAAGAAAAGGGAGTGGGGTGATGAATGGTGTAAAAGGCCAACTGAGTTGCATAAATGAGGCCATCAGTGACTTCAGCCAGAGCAATTTCAGGGTAGTGGTGCAGGCAGAAGCAGAAGCTGATTGAAGGTTAGAGGGACACAAGGATGTGGACAGCATGGAGGCCAACCTCTCTCAGGCACTGTGGCGGGGAAAGGCATGGACAAGATGAGGTGGAGGTGGAGGGGGTGCTCAGGCTAAGCTGTGTGCTGGCTTTCCTGTCAAATGTTGGTTTTATAAACAGAGCCTTCCAGAGCTGGGCTGATGTGAATGGGTCTCCCAGGGCCCGCTCCACCCATGATGAACTGAGAACACTGAGCATATTTATGGGCCAAAGGAAATAAGTCAGCAGAGAGGGAGAAGTTAACTATCCATGAAAGAAGAGGGTAACCCATAGAGCTGCCTCCAAGTAGCAGGCAGGGATGACAGAGGGTGCACACATGTGCACAGTGGCTTTGGTCATGGGAAGGGCACTTCTCTCTCCTGCATACCTATAAAGAGTGTGCTGCCTGAATAGCCGACCAGCCTCTCTCTAGTTTAAAGATTCCAAAATTTTGATATGAAACCATTTCAAATGGGCAGATGTTAGAAAAAAGAAACTCTCAAAAGAAGGCCCAAATTAAAACCACCAATAATAACCTTAATAAATAGAGCTAATGTGTACACAGAGCACCTACTCTGTGCCAGAAGCTGTTGGAAGCACTTAACACATGTGTTGCATTACGTCCTCCCCACAACTCTATGACTGGGGTAAAGTTACCCATCCATTTTCACAGATGAAGGCACAGAGGTGGAGAAACTTGTTCCAGCTGGTGCGATGCTGAGCTGTGGCTGGGAGGAGTAGGGAATGTCCCCATTATGTATGTCCACGCGGTGCTGGGATGAGCTGTGGGTGGAAACGCTTCCCCCATGGGGCCCACAGTTGATTCTTCCTTGTACCCTGAGGCCCTGACTCAGGTCTGGCCTGGAGTGGAGTTCTGTTCAGGTCAACAAGCATTCCACATATGTTTGGTAAACTCAAGGGATGTCAGAACCGTGGTCCTTGAAATTAGTGACCACTCTCAAGCAGTCTTGACTGGAAACAGATGGCAGGAAAAGGTAGACACTAATTTGGGCCATAAAAAAAAGGTGCGTCTTTGAAATTTAAAGCAAAGGAAGTGAAACTAGCATTTTGCATTATCACTTACCTCTTTCTGAAAACACTTCTGGTGCCCACAGATGATAACTTCAGCTACATTATGCAAAGTGAGAAACACAGGAATGGCCTGAAAGAAAACAGAATAATAAGCATGAAAATATTTTCTTTGATCTCATAATTACATAATTCTTCTGCTTAAAAATAAAGATCCGTGGGAGCTTTTGGCATTCGCATACACAATCCTCCTCAGCAACAACCCTTCTGCACGGATTAGTGCTTTCAGTTGTAGTATTATGCTTGGTGGATGCAGAGGCTCCCCTCCTACAGGCATTCTCATCAACATACATTTATTAAGCGCCTATTGCATGTCAGGTACCACGCCAGGTGCAGAGAACACATCCCATGAACAAGGTGAACATGTGACAGGGAGACTGTCCCTATCGAGGTAAGAGCCCTGACAGAGCATACAGAAAGGCACACCCAACCAAGTGCGGGGAGAGCAACTTCTCGGAGGAAATGAAGTCCAAAGTCTAAATGAGAACTGAATGACGAGCTAGAGTGAGCCAAACAAAAATGGGAGATGGAGAGTGTTGCAGGCAGAACACATGACAATCCAGAGGGGAGAGTGAATCAGGCTCCTCTGGGAACTGGGGGGAGGTGAGCAGAGTAGAATATAACCTGGAAGGAAGAAGTTAGGGAGAAGTTGGTGGAGAAGCCATCACAGGCCATATCAAGGAATCAGGATTTGCTGAGGGCCATTGGAGACCCCGAAGAATTTTAAAGCAGACAGCGACATTGATCTGCATGTTTAAAGGAACTTGGGCTGTTGGACAGAGGACAGGAGGCAAAGACGGTTGCAAAAGTTAGGGATGTGGTAGACCAAAACATTGCCCCCGAAAATAGCCACATCTGAATCCCTGAACCTGTGACTGTCACCTTATGTAGCAAAAATGGGTCTTCGCAAATGTGATTAAGTTGATAATCTTGAGATAAGGAATTTACCCTGGATTATTCAGGTGGGCCCTAACTGCAAACATATGTATTTATAAGAGAAAGGCAGAGCTTTGACACACGGAGAGGAGGAGGTGATGTGACCACTGAGGCAAAGATTGGAATGATGTGGTCACAAATCAAGGAATGCCAGCAGCCACCAAAAGTTGGAAAAAGCAAGGAATATATTCTCCCCTAGAGACTCTGGAGGGAGTACGGCCCTGCTGATACACCTTGATTTCAGCCCAATGATATTGATTTTGAACTTCTGGCCTCCAGAGCTTTGAGAGAATAAATTTCTGTTGTTTTAAGTCACCCAGGTGTGGAGTAATTTGTTTCAACCACAGGAAACTAAGACAAGGAATGACAAGATGGTGGCCTGAACTTGGTAGCAGCAGTGAAGATGGAGAACAGTGTCCGCATTCAGGAAATACTTAGAAGACTAAATATTTAAATGACCGGAAGCGGCTTTGCACCCAAAAAAGCGGGGGAGAAGATATAAAAAATGTAACACTGCAGTGAATTATTAAGATACACAGAAGACCCTCTGCACACTGACTATTGCTGGGCTGTTTGCCAAGAATGGCAGGCAGTCTCTCCTTCCTTATTTGATAATCTTGACATGATGAGGGGGAGAGATTAATGGGCATAGCATTTTATGATTTCTTTGTTGTTGATGAGAATAATAATATTTCCTGGAAGGCAGAAAAAGGTAGAGAACATGCATGGGTTTTGGCATCAGACTGGGCTTCAGGCCCCAGCTCCACCAGCTGCTAGTGAAACAGGGCACTTATCCAAACTTTGGTTTGCTCCTCTGCAGTATGAATTAAAAATACGTATGACCTGGGGCAATCGAGTGAATGACGGAAAGAACGTAGGTCAAGAACCTAGATCAGTGGCTCAGGGATACTGCTCAAACTGTTGTCAGCATTAGCTGGTACCAAGCCCATCCTTGGCGGTCTCCACAAAGGACCCTGAGCTGGGAAACTGTTCCAGCTTAGAGGCCCTGCTTAAAGATCATGCTGCTCGCCCACTTCCAGATGGATTTAGTCTTTATCTTTTTAGAGGATGTATTTTTACCTTGTTTTTAAAACTTTTGTAACTTTATAGCGCTGCCCTGTTTTAGCATTTTGTTCTAACTTGCACTGTTTTATTTCTTTTTTTAATTCTTCCCTTACATTTTTCTTGCCTTTTTAACATTTTCTACTCTTATTTTATCTTTAATTAAAAGTTCAACTCAAGCTGCTTTTTCCTTTTAAAATCATACTTTATTTTCTATTTTTAAATTTCTTTTGCACTTCTTTTTATATGTTTGAAGTTTATTAAAGAAGTTTTTTTAACTGGCTTTATCCATTAGGCCCATGTTTGGCAAACTTGGGCCCTGAGCTTCTAGATCTTGGCTTCAGAAAACAGCAAAGAAAATCTCAGACAGGTTAATTATGTGATACATTAAAAGTGAATAAAAAGAGCAACCTGGATCTTATTTATTAAAAATTAAGATCTTATTTAAAATGCTTTTCCCCTCTTGACTATGAAATCAGTTAATGAGATCAGAATTAAGACTGAGATTATGGAACTCTAGACCCTAACTCTAGTCCTCAAGGAGGTTTAATTTTCTCTTAATTTTCTCAATTTTATAAACTATAAATAGATTTCTCAATCTCCCTAGGCCCTACTCTGATTAGATATAGATTCTGGAAAAGGATCTATCTACACATATAAAATCAACTTTAAAGTACACTAATAATAGATACCAATAACGTATTAAGCAGGGGGCTAATTATTTTAATTGCATTCTTTTATTTAAACCTCCTCCCCACAACAGTATTAGTGGATGTTATTCCCTTGATTTATAGACAAGGAAACTGAAGCGTAGAAGATCGAGCAACTAGCTGGAGTGCTCACAGCTAGTTCAGAGACAGGGCCATGACTCCAACCCAGGCTTCTCTAACTGCAAGCCCAGACTCCTAGCCTCAATGTTATAATACCCAAATTATGTCAAGCCACAGTAAACTTCCTGGACCTACGGCTATCTAAAGTTCAATATAATCGGTGTGTTCCAAATCCTGCCAGTCTGCTTCCTCCAGTAATAAAACTGGTATGATCTTGAAGAACCCAGGTAATTCTCTAGGTCAAAAAAACTGTGAATGTGGGTGAGAAAAACTAATTACATCTTTGTACCACTTCTAACAGGAATTTAACAAATTCTTAATTATGAATGCCAGAAACAAACCACAGTAGTATTAGCAGTACCTGTGACTGTCACCAAGAGAAATCAAATCCATTTATAGCACATTACAATTGTTATACACTATATTAAAAGTTTTTGTTCTTGAGAAAATAAATAAATAAATAGATAGATAGATAAATAAATAAAACTGGTATGATCTAAACACAGAGTAAATTCTATGTCATTTTAAAAAGAGATATCTCCCATTTCTACTTTAAAAAATTTAAATCTGAATTTCTCAAGCCATTTTCTACTGAGAAGCTAGCGGGCTTTGGAAATAATAATTCAATAATTGACCATATCAGCCTCTGTAGAGACCTATCAAAAACAATATTAAAGCAGTATGAAAATTTAATTCCTGGTTTTTCCTTGGCCTCTACCATTGCACACAAGTCCCAGTCTGGTCTACACTAAGAGTTCAGAAGACCCACTAGTGACAGATCCTTTTAGCAAATCAGCCCTTTATTATCTTTATGGAGTGAGAGTCAGCAGGATCCTTTTTGTCTAACCAGACGAAAACTCTGAGAAATGATAGCAATAATAATAATAGCTAAGATATATTGAATACTTATGATGTGCCAGACACTGTTCTAACTGCTTTTATATATTTAATCTTCATAATAACTCTATGGTAAATACAATTAGCATCCTCATTATCTAAATGAGAAAACAGAGAGAGATATTCTAGCTCTTTTTTTAACCTGCCTCTTAACAATTGGATGAACTAGATACTTGCTTGCTGCAAAAGAGTGGAGAAAAATAAGCATGGCTTCCACATTGTCAAGCTTCTAAAACAGCCTCGACAACAAAAGGTCCCACCATTTTTCATCAGGAACAGTGGCTGAAGATTCACTACTATAAACCCCAAATGTAATTGACCAAATTCGACTACACTACAAGACAGTTCGTTAGTGACTTAGGGGCACAATTTGCAACTAATTTATTCTAGAGTCCATTAGCTTAAAATTCAACATTTCTTTCTTGCACCATTGGAAATTTTTCTCTGGATGTGAAGAGAAATTGGTAGCTATTACTTAAAATTTTTCATTATTCCCATGCTTCCCAGACTGGAATTTTGAAGACCTGATTATTATTTGTTCAGGTGTCAGAACTGACTTAGAACAGTTTGCTATGGAAAACTATGGCCCTGCCTAAATGCACAGCCTGGGGTCATTCTGAAGAGGTGTGGATGATCCTTATTCAAGCACAAATCCTGGGTCAGCTTCTTAATTTGTATAAAATGTCAATCCTACCTTCTTCTTGGGTGATTTTTAAATGTGTGTACATGGCCTCAATCTATAGTATAGAATAACTGCACTCCAGACCCTTGCCAAAGAATGTAACTTTGAACTGTTGGCTGCCCAATTTTTATCCAAATTGTGAATGCCATTAATAATATTCTTAAAGGATTGCCTAACGGCAGTCTGTCCACCTGTAAAGGGAGCCAGAATACTAGAGAGCACTGGTTTCAGCCCCCGAGAACTGCTCCTACTGAATTGCGCTCTGTTGCCATGCCTCAAAAAATGCATTAAGAATCCTAGGAACTAGGCTATCGTAGTGTTCATTATAAAGACGTCACTGAGGACTCTGCCTCACAAAGTTGCCCTGTCTACCCTTTATGAAGACTCAGGACCTGAGAGCAAAGAACTCTGCTTTTCTTCAGCAATGGTCCCGCTCTTATCTTAAAAGTGTTGAGTCTTGTAACTCTTTTATTTGACTACAGAAAGCTAAGAGCTGAATTCAAGTCCCACTTATATTTATTTTGTAAGATATTATGGCATAAATTTCCATGTGCTTTCTCTCTGTGGCCTCATCTAGTTCTTCATCTGTGGCCCTTCATCTAGACTTCTTTTAAAATTCTATTCATAAAAACTGTTTATCTTATTTTAATCATAATTATTTTCTAA